GCGATTTTGGTGAAAATGATTCAACCGACCTTTGCCGTGACCGTCTGCTTTTCGTCACCCGAACCATGCATTCGGTATAAGCATTGCCGCAGTGTGCGCAACGCTGAAAGATTCGAAACATAGCCTGTGCTTTTCTGCATCTTACGATGTAGGGAGTTTGCCTCCGCAAGGGCCTATTCCTTCTCAACAAGGCTTTGGGAGACATAATCGACCCAGGCGTTGCCGGACGAGCGAACCGCCCCTCTCATAACATACCCTGAGAGAGACCCTGAAGATTCCCAGCAGCCGTCTCTGCGGAACAGGTTTGTGGAGTGCTTGTCCCCCACCTGCTACCGGAGATATGCCAAAGAACAGCTGCCGCTGTTCGAGAGGGGGCGGATGTATTTTAACAATCGAACAGATTCTCTATTTTCCATATTAACACTCTATTGGGCGGTTGGCGAGATCCAACGGCCACCTCTTGGATTCATCGACACATCCACACCCCCCTTCTTTTTCTTCCCTCTATTAATTGTGTTGTAATAATTGAACAACGGACCGGCAATCAATGTCTGCACACAAGAAGCACGGCAGGATCTTTACGATGACGCGAGGATTGCTACTAATAGACGCCCCTCCGTTGTTGAACCGAGAAAACCGGGGTGGGGGGAAGGAGGGACGACTCGATGTTGTATTGTGCATTTGAGGATCAGAGGGGGGTGAAGGGAGGTGAAGCCATCGTTGATCAATTGTTTGGCCATGAGGATCTCCTGGTATATTGCCACTAATCTGGCACACTTCAACACAAAATCATCAATCTTGCTGTCAGACTACTCATCATTCACCCCGTTCATCGACTTGATTGGATAAGACCTCATCTCGAGCTCTATTTTACAACAAGCCTCTGTGCAAGGGGTAACGGTCGAGGCCTGTTTTTCTTCCCCTCTGTGAAGTCTCGAGTCAGGCGAAGGATTGTGCATCGATGATGAACTTGAGACGAATTGGTAATATTATGGTATATTCCTAAGGGTGAATCCAACCCATGGTTTTCCGGATCCAAGGCCAAAGACAGTGACGCGCACCAGAACCTCGGTCATCGACGACCAACTTCGGATAAGCCCATGTAATGGCTTGAGATTGGTCAGGAAAGCGCCAGGAAGCAGACGCGAATTTCATAATTTTTTTTCTCTTCGGGATGAGGAGGTTGAAAACTTCGTAACAAGGATGTGCTTCTTGGACTAAACTAGTCGGTCTTGGACTAAGTCATGTGGAGCGGCTGATGGAGAGAAGCAGCCGCCACTTCATCCTTCCGACAGACTTATAAGGCCAGGACATGGTTTGGTTCGGGTTCACGGTTGGAGTGTTATATTGGATTTTGACAGATTTTCTTCAGAATGTATCACTATACTGCGAGACAAGACACACTAGCGTCTGTGAAGGAGTAGACATTGGATAGTGATACTCCCACCTCGCGGCTCCGGCGGTGCAGGGTGCGAAGTATAGAAGTGAACCCTCCAGAGCTTATTACTTCTCAGACAGTCTGATTCACTTGGTAGAGGAAGTGAAACCTCACCCAATTGCAAAGAAAAGAAGAACACTCTTCCTTGACTGAAGCATAATTCCTAACCGCGCCGTTCTGCGGCCTGCTCTGGCTCCAACTTGTTGTCAGAGGCTGGCAAAGAAGCCCACCGGACCAATCCAACCTCTCCACACACACTAGCTCAAGATCCATAGTCTTCCTCACGCGGTCGAAGGAGGTAAGACCATCCGTCAATCCACGCTAAATCATTTCAATCAAGCCGTAATAGGAGTGAAGACAGACACACAAATGGGTTGGCGATCGCCTGTGGAGTAGAGCCCTCCGCTCCGTAACCATGTGAAGTGTGGTGTGGTGTACCTGTGTATGGACAACTGGTCAACCGCTCCACCAGGGCTCGACTGTATAACTTGTACCCGGCTACAGCTGCATCCACTAAACGTTGAATACCCAACCAGGTACTTCGTTCTCACTTCCGAAGCTCAGGATGAGGTAGTAACTTCTTGGTGGAGGAGGCAACATAATATTGAAAGTTGCCTGCTCGAAATCGCGGTGAGGCTGGATAAGTCATTGATTTCTTTTCTTTTTTCTCACAATGAATCATTCGCTCCAAACAACTGTAACTTGCCGGCCGATATTCGAGAGCATGAGTGATCTCGCATCTCGCATCTCGCCTCTCGCCTCTCTCATATCGCATTGCGCACAACTCACCGCAGGACATTATGAGAAAATGCAGAGATGGAGCACAGGCATTAATCAACTCGACTTGTGCTGTTAAGATGTTGATACTCTCTTTTTTGTGACCTGTCCATCAAGTACAAGTATAATCACTGTACGTGGCCGGCGACCTGTTGTACTGTACGTGGAGCTCATGTGGTCGCACAGTATCGTAGAGGGTACATGTAGTTGTCCCAGATGCGCTCCGCTTTCGATCCTTGGAAAAGGTAGAAATACCTGCCCGAGTCTGGTTATGTTGACCCTTGTCCGGTACCATGACATCGCTGCCACTGGGTACAGGAATGGAGGGGCGTTTCGCTGCTTCCCCCCATCTTATTCGACCACCACCCCTGCAAAGTGCTGGATGCCCCTCTTCCCTGGTACAACTCTGTTCCGCTCACACCCTTCCAGCTTATGTACCACCGATTAATTCCCTTCAGGGCTCGACCGTTCCCACGAAAAATGGCCTGAATGGGCGAGGAGACGAGGAGATGGTCCCGGGGTGCTAACACCACTCCCCCAATCCACTCATCCCACCCACCCACCCCCAACCACCAGTGGTGTGTGCAAGACGGCAGAAGTCCGAATTAACAGGACTAACCACCTCGAGCAACATCGATCCATCCATGTCACTTGCTTGCTGGCAAGCGAAGATGCTCAACGCCCCCTCCCAGTTGGGCCAGGCCATAGCTCTCTCTTGGGCATCACCATTGAACGAAAAAAGAAAAGTAGTAGTATATGGGGAAAAAAAAAACAATACGGATTGAACAGAGGAATGGACACTTTTGGAATGTGAAAAGGCGGTAGTGAGGAAGATCAAATAAAGATAAGATTAGCTTTACTGGAAAGTAGGAAAGGGACTCTGCCAAAGAAGAAAATTGAGAGGGGAAAGAATTTAACCCCAGCCTCTTTTCCTCCCTTGTTAGACTTGCAATCAAGGTACTTCGTACGGGTCGACAGTCGCTGTTTTTCCCCGGGGCAAAAGGACCACGGGTTCAGGTCAGCCAGTTACCACCATCCTCAACCCCCGGTCCCCTTGCAAATCCGCCATACCCAGTCCACCATCGGCCTCGAAAAGCCTCTGGGCGTTTACTGAGTTACGGTGATTGTACCGTTACTCTTTCGTTTCCTTCCCTTTCGCGCTACCCTCCCCCCCTTCTCCTTCCCCTTCCCCGCCCTTGTCCTCGTCTATTTTTTCACTGCGAAGAAGGTACGAACTACGATGTAATCTGGTCCTTGTGGTCCTTGTCAAGAACCGCCAATCCCTCCACCCGCCACGGCAAACCACTAATCGCCAAGGTACCTGAGTAAGTTACTTCGTACTTACTCCCAACATCCCTTCCCTCTCCGGTATCTACATTGCTACCTCCCCCTCCGTACACTACTTCGTACTTGCTCGCGGGTCTGGCCCATCATCTAAACCATGAAGCGGTCTTTTCTGTCCCTGTCCAGTCCAGTCAGTCCGTCCGCTTCTCAGTTGTGGTCGTAGTGTGTGTCGTCTGTTTCTGGTACGGGTACTCCATCCACCACAAGTATCTTTCCCGGCCTCCTCACTACTTCTTTTCCCTCACACCTCCGCAAAAATAACAAAACCTTGCCTGGTCCAATCCACTCTTTTTTTCTCCTAGTTCCTCTTTTCTCACCTCACTCAACCGACCTCCTCAATTTCTCCTTCCGCGACCTTCTTTACAGAGGAGAGGAAGGTAAGACCCGACTACCTTGCCTTCAACCACCCTCGCGCATTTTTCTATTCTTACCCGCTGCTCTCCTTTTTCCATCCCCCTCGTTTAACAGTCATAAGCCGACTCTCCCATTGCTCGACTTCCAGCATTCTTTCCTCGACCTGCATCTCATCGCTGACCGTACCTGCATTAGAGTTGGAGCGAGACCGAAGTGACAAGGAAGAGCAAGAACGGAACGAACTTTAAAGCCAGCAAGGAACAGGATAGATCACGACCTCGAAAGTGTTTGTACGTTCACCAACGCTTATTCTCCCTCGCAAATGCTCTTTCATATACCTCTCAATCCAAACGACGAAGGCTGCATATGCCTCCGCAGACACACATATACACACAAATACACAGATACACACAGCTTCTCGAAATCAACTTCACCACATACTCCCCATATAAGCAAGAGAAGAACAAGGAGGAAAAAAAGAAAGAAAGAAAGAAAGAAAAAAAAGAACCAAAACCTCTGTGGCACTCGCGTATCCACTCGCCGCCCTAAACTCCGAGCCCTTCGAAATTCGAAGACAACTGTCTCTCTTCATCTTGGGCTCCCCCGCCCCCTCCAATTCACTTGCCTCCCAGCACTACTACATATGTCGCCTTTTCCCTACCTACAGCATACCGGCCTCGCATGTCAACGCATAGCAATTCTTCTCTAACGTCCTACTCTATAGGATCCCCCGGTTCAGTAGCATACATCTATCTACCCAAGCTCGAGAGTATCTAGGAACTAGTAACGGCTTCCTTTGTCGCCCGTCATCTTGCAACGCGCCCTCAAACGAATTACCTCGAAGGACTGCTAGGACCAATTGGATACTCCGGAACCCAAGTTTGCTCTTGGGGTGGTTCTTAGGTTGAACTTGTATTATTAACCAGGCTTCGTCAAACGGTCGATTCTGAATTGGCTCCGAGCGGTCATCAGAAGCAGCTCTAGAAACACCGAAAAGCTGGATCTCCCCTCGATATCCGAAGTGCAGACCCGGGGTTTCCCTGACGGGCAGTACTATCCCTCCCAGATTACCGCGCGATCGGTGTATATGAGTAGTGAAAAACTGCCGTCTCTCCCTCTTCCCTATCCCCAGGCAACCTACTCGTCGGGTACGACTTCGCCCCGGGTTAGCTCCATCGCCTCCTCCGTCAGCTCCCACGGCTCTCGGTCTTCATTCACTTCGGTAGCTTCTTCCAACGGGCCCAAGACTCCGTCCCCCACCCTGCCCATCACTTCGTCTATTCCAGGCCAGCAATACGATCATTACCCAGCGATGAGCCAGGCTCCTCAAGATATGTACTACCCTCAGCATATGTCTGCAGGGCAAGCCGCTCCCCCACAGACCGTCACCTCGGGCGCCATGTCTCATTACACTCATCAGCAGCCACCCTTATTACAGCCCGGCCCTGCCCAGTACCCTCCTCCCCCTCCGGCTCCTTATCCCCACCAGTATGGGTATGCCGGTGGCTTGACGTCCCCTCCCACGGCACACCCCGTGTCGGGGAACATGGGCAGCAGCGGTCTTCTTCCCCCTCCCGCTCCCCTACCTGGTATTCCCGGTCAGGCTGCCGCCATGCAGAATCAGTACACCGGATTCGACACCACCGGCCAGATCGCACCCCCGGGAATGAAGCCCCGCGTTACCGCCACGCTGTGGGAAGATGAGGGAAGCCTCTGCTACCAAGTCGAGGCCCGAGGAATCTGTGTCGCCCGTAGAGAGGGTATGCCATTCCCGTCGATGACGTCGCTCCTACCTCCCACCGGCATAAATACTAATCCATCTCCTAGATAACCACATGATCAACGGTACCAAGCTGCTCAATGTTGCCGGAATGACCCGTGGTCGCCGCGATGGTATCCTCAAGAGTGAAAAGGTTCGCCATGTCGTGAAGATTGGTCCGATGCATCTGAAAGGCGTGTGGTAAGTGTCTAGACTAATTATGTGTGGTATCCCCTTTTGTGTTTGTCCCGGCCTTGCTCATTCGATGCAGGATTCCTTTCGAGCGTGCGCTTGATTTCGCCAACAAGGAAAAGATCACGGAGCTCTTGTATCCTTTGTTTGTTCACAACATCGGTGCGCTTTTGTACCACCCCACGAATCAGACTCGTACAAGCCAGGTTATGGCTGCCGCCGAGCGTCGCAAGCAAGAGCAGTCCCAACTTCGCGGCCCTCAGCCCACTCCCCCTGGTCTTCCCTCGATTCAACAGCACCATCACGCCATGGGGTTGTCGGGGCCGCAACCCCCTCTTCCCTCACAGACGATGACGAGACCGACTCTCGAGCGCGCCCATACCTTCCCGACGCCACCAACGAGCGCATCGAGTGTGATGGGAAGCATGGCCCCCTCGGATAACTTCCAATGGGCTCAGCAGCAAGGGATGAGCGCAACTCAAGGTACACACTCCATGTCCATTGAGACAGGTCTTAGCAACGCGCGCTCAATGCCCAATACACCAGCCACTACTCCTCCCGGTACCAGCATGCAGACGATGCAGCCATATCCGTCGGCTACCCAATCCTACGATACCTCGAGGCAAATGTACAACCACTCGTCGACACAGCAGTCTCCCTATCAAACGGCACCCCCCGCCCCACAAGACAGGTCTCTGTACGGTCAGCCGCCCACCTACGTTAAGAGCGAGATGGCACCACCCTCCAGCAGACCCGCCGGCCCTGTTTCGTCCACGGAGCAAGCCGACAATAAACCTCCTAACGGGATCCTTCAATCCGATCAGAGCGGGCAGACCGTCTCTCATGTCCCTCATGCGGCTGGCGAGGATGAACAGGACCACGATCACGAAGCCGAGTACACCCACGACAGCAGTTACGACGCCAACAGGGCCTCGTACAACTACCCAGCTCCTGCTGTTGGATCGATGCCGGGCGACCATTCCCACATTGCCCCTGAAATGACAGGCTCCCCCAGTCACCCCCCTGCTTCCGGGCGTGCTACTCCCCGCAGCGCTGCTCAACCCCAGTCCTACTACCCCCAGCAGACGGGTTATGCTTCGCCGCCTCGTGTGCCATCGGCGTCGAACAATGTGTACACTGTAATGAATAATGACCGAGGAACGGCCAGCAACGGCCCCAATGACGTTTATGCACCCCAGGCGGATATGGGCGCTTCTATGCCCAATGGATATGGCAGCCAGCCGCCCGTCATGAATGGTGCCAGTGGCGGCCTCAAGCGGCAGCGTGATGATGACGATGTTCCCCGCCCCTCGAGCGGCGGGCCTGGCATGGGTGGCCTTGACCTCAAGCGAAGGAAAACCATGATCGACTCCACTGTCCCACCTCCCACTTACGAGGCCATGAACCGTCCTGGCTCTGCCATCTCGGCACAACGGCGAAGGTAATTCTAATTCCTCTCTGGGCCAACGAACAGAACGAAGACATCTGACGCTTTGAGCTCTAGTCTCATCACATGAGGTGTGTAATAGCACCCCATTGGATTTGACATGCCATGGCCAAATCCGAACCCAACTGGCTGCACTTTCTGCTATAAGCGCTCTGGGGAAATGGAACCAAAAACAACAAAGAAAGAACATCGACTCTTTCTAAATAATCCGAACACACCTCGACGGTGTACGAACACTCCTTTTTGATTTTCTAGATGTCATTTTCTACCTTTTTTTTTTTTTTTTTTTTTTTTTAATTTCTTCTTCTCCCAGCCCAGGCCTCACTCCTGGGTTCCCGATCCTCGACTGATTTGAAACGATTCATGGGCATGCGACCAACACTCCATCAAAAAACCACAAAAACGAGACGATGACGACCTTTACGACGTGTTGTTGCTTGTTGTCTAAAACGCCCCTGTCATGGCTGTAAACGGCTGATGAATGACGCTTTGCATGGTGGGACTTAATTTTTAAAAGACGAGGGGAGGATAGCGATTCGATTATTTTCTTTTCTGAAGATTCGACCCTGCTCTTCTCTCGAAGCCGCTTTTCATTTGGCCTTCGATTTTTTGTTTTCTTCTCTTTTCCTCTCATTTGTTCTGACGTTGATTTTCTTTTTTATTGTTTTTTTTTTCCCGTCTTATGGACGGTAGTATCAGGTCATGTACCGTGAGAGAGACGACGAGTGATGAGAGGCCGAGTTACGACGGATATCCCGACCGTTACGAGACTCGGAAGGGGGTAATGTCTGAAATGGGGGCCCGACGATCACGATGGTGCGGCTCAACGTGGACCATGACGACGACCACATACGCGACTGCGACACTTGTTTTTTTGTCCTTGCTCTTCCCTTGTTACGACGATCGATCTCAACTGGGAACGATTCTACTTGGCATGTACGCTAGGTAGACACGACTAAAGGCGGTTCTATTAGGGAGATGGGTGGAGGTGATAGATGTGTTCTTACGGGCTGGAGGGAAAGGTGTTGTTCTTGAGTTGGCATGTGGTGGTGGATTGCTCACACATGTCTTTTTCTGACGACCTGACGACCATTTGCTTTTCGCCGTCTTTTTTTTTTCTTGTTTGCCTTTTTATTTCTGCCACTGCTGTTTCTGTCAAAAGTGTGAGTGTGTGCGTGCTTGGAAATGTCTCCTTTTTTTAGGTAACGACTTAACGACGGTAAATAAAACAGATATTCAGCTGAAGTTGATTCTTGGTGCATCGTTGTTTCATTGGAACAGTTCCTTTTCTCCAAATAACTCGTGTCCTTGTTGGGTTTGCCCGGATCTACTTGGAGCCGCCCATACAATCGAAGCCACTGACTGGTGAGGCGAGCATCGTCTGAAGTTGCTGAGGAGAATTCATTTCCAACCTTAGCAGATGTGCGACGAGGGCCTGACAAAATGTCTTCACAAACTAATGCTAGTATTCCGTTAAAGTTGGATCTCCAGTACATACACAACTTAGAGGACATTTAAAAGGCATGGCAAGCGTAGGGAGGAGATATCTTACTCTTGACGTCCGGCGTCCCTTCGATAGCACTGTTGCTAGAACTTTCATCTCCGCACTTAGGGTCATTCGGCTGGAATCTTACCCATCGTTTCATTAGCCTAAGTGGACAACCTTGTCAAGACAAGGAACACGGACCTATGATTCGTAGGCGTTATCTATCCGCCCATCAAAATTTTGATCCGTCCAGACAGACGGTTCGGCCCTCGCCATTTGGAAAGCACCTTCACCCACCCACAACTCCCTGCTCACCCAGCACCACATCCCTCAGCCTATCCTTCTCACCACTCTCCTCACACATCCTCCTAAACAACCCCTCCATCACCCACAACTCACCCGGCGTGCCATACTCGACTACCCTCCCATCGGCAAGCACCAAGATGCGATCGAAATCGGCAATGGTGGAAAGCCGGTGCGCGATGACGAGGAGGGTCGAGTCGGCGAAGTCCTCGCGGATCGAGCGCTGGATCGACGCGTCGGTCGCCATGTCGACGGCGCTGGTGGCTTCGTCGAGGACGATGATTTTGGGGCGGCGGATGACGGCGCGGGCGAGGCAGAGGAGTTGGCGTTGGCCTTGGGAGAGGTTGAGACCGCCTTCTGAGATTGGGGAGGAGAGGTCTTTGAAAATGTTGGTGGTTGTTGCTGTCTCATGGGGAAAAGAGGCCCCATCTAAGAGAGCGGACTCGTCGTCGGTTGAGGTCAGGTGAACCCGCGCTAGGGAGTCGTGGAGCTCGGCATCGGTGTAGTGATGGAAGGGATCGAGGTTGCTTCGAACATCCCCGGAAAAGAGAACGGGATCCTGCGGGATAATGGCGAGTCGGGAACGCAAGTCGTGCAGCTTGATCTTTGAGATATCCAGACCGTCAATCCGGATAGTGCCCGACCTCGCTTCGAGGAACCGGAATAACGCCAACGTGAGAGAGCTCTTCCCGGCGCCGGTTCGTCCTACTATACCGATGCGCTGGTTCTTTTCCACCTTGAAACTAAGGCCCTTCAGGATGGGAGGAAGATCGTCGGCGTAACCGACCACGAGGTCCCGGACTTCTAGGTTTCCCTCCTGCGGCCAGGCAGCAGGCGCATCATCGCCGCCAAGAGATTCGGTGGGCAGCTCGCTATATTCGACGATTCTCTCAGCCGCGTTCATGGTCAGCTCGACGTTCGAATAGTTACGAATAGTCCACATAACGGCGCCCGAGAATTCCAGGGCAAACGTCAGCGCGAAACCGGCAAGGGCTGGGTCCATGTCTGTGGTGAGGAGGACGAGAATGGTCACGAAGACGGCGAACATGGATCCTATCACCGCCATGTGCCAGCCCAGCCATCGATTGAATAACCTTAGGTACCACGTCGCTGCTGCGTAGTCGTCCATTCTCTTGTGCATTCTCTCGATGTAGACCTTTGATTTGCCGAATCCTCGGATCGTCGTTACGCCGGTTAGGGCCGATCCGAATTGCTCAAATACGGGCGATTTGGCCGTACTCTCTAGGCGCTTTGCAGGCCGGGCGGCGCGAAGGTAGAGAACGGCATACCGAAGGCTTAGAGCGAGCAGAACAGCAGCGAAGGGGATGATATATGGCGATACAAAAAGGCTAAGTAAGTGTCAGCAGTGTTAGACAAAGCCATCCTGTAGGAAAGTGGGAAGAACTGGAGAGCCTTTACCCTGCCACAACTACGCCGAGGAGATTGAGGAATGCGCTGGCCCCGTATCCAAGTTGATTCGCCATCGAAGAATCAACGACGTTAAAATCGGCCGTGAATCTGTTGATGATGCGCCCAGCTTTGGCGTGAAATGTTAGCTAGATATCCCATTGGTAGATTCGGCCGTTCCATGCTAGACGAGAAGTCATGGATCGTTGGGGTTATGCTTAAACCGTTAGCACTTACTCGGGACTGTGTCCAGCCAGCGAATCGGAGATCGAAGGATCGCGAAATTCATCTTCGAAAACAACCTTCTAGATGCTGCTATTGAGCCAAGATAGAGGGAAAAGAACCTGAGAGTCCCCACGATACACGCGGCTACTGAAAGTAGAACGTAGATACTGAGATAGAATCGAAGGTCATGTTCCTTCCCGTTGAGGTCGGCGATGCCCGTAAAATGGATATCTGACTGCTGGATTTCCAGAGCATATGCATGTTTCTCCTCATAAGTACTTGTCCAAATACGGAGCCACCATGCACGACCTGTTCAGAATGTGTATCAGTCCCAGTCCTGCATGGTGAGTGTCGGATGCACTGCACTCTTCTTACCTATGGCCAAAGCCTGTACGATAAGAAATACTAAGAGAATGAATGGCCAGAAGAACCACCCGCCACTAGCTTTGAGATAAGCCGCGTAAACGTGATGTTTCACGGATCCTTTTTCTCTTTTCTCCTCTTCGACGAAGCGCCGGGGTTTGGCCTTCGCGTTGGTCTTGCTGGTTTCTTCATGAATAATATAGGTACTGGTTTCTGAGGACGATGGGGCGTTGTCGCCGAGGCATTCCGTTTGCTCGACCTGCTCATCACCCAGGCTCTCGTTTAGTCGCCCATCCGTAGGAGAACCTGTTAGTGGACCCGCGCTCAAGACCTTGTTATTGCCTAGCTCGACAAGGTACCGCGCATTCGGTCTGCAGAGCCCAACGTGGTGAGTCGCAAGAATGCGGGTTCTCCCTTCACTTAGTTCCCCGCTCAATGCTTGCTCTAAAATGTGCCTCCCAACATGAGTATCAACGGCGCTAAAGATGTCGTCGAGAACTAAAATCTCAGCTCTGCTATATAGCGCACGGCATAGCGTTACCCGCCATCTTTGACCGCCACTTATATTGATGCCATTGGCACCGATCTCCGTGTCATCGCCATCGGGCATCACGTCAAGGTCCTGTTCCAAGGCGCAAGCCTCAATGGCCTTGTTATACCGATCCTCGTTAAACGGCAAGCCGAACAGGATGTTCTCTTTAACACTAGCATTTTCGATCCATGGTATCTGAGCGACGTAAGCAACGGAGCCGGGAATGATCCAGTTTGATTCGAGGGCCATGTCGTCATATCGGTTCCTATAGGCCACAGTTTTCGGGGCGGTGATAGTGCCAGCTAGGACATCGCACTCGCCAAGTATAGCTGAGAGCAGTAAAGACTTCCCGCCGCCTGTGGGACCTGAAATTATGGACAGTTGGCCCTTGGGGAAGGATATATTGACATCTTCCAGAGTAGAGTGATCGGAGTGATCACTATCGTCTGAGGGCCACGATATGGAAGCATGATTGAATGAGATGGTGCTGCCGTCAGTGGTAACATTCTTTAGTTCAGGTGCTTTCAGATATTCGTCAATGCGCTTCAAGGAAATCCACGAATCCAAAAGAGCCATGGTAAGTTCCTTTACGGCCTCGACGTTAGCGACCCCGGCCCATAAGGTAATTCGACGTTGGAAATGTTAGCTCTTACAGGAACGAATGCTAACGTAGCTTCCAGGC